TCAGGCTCAGTTTTCCAGAACCAGCATATCTATATATTTAGTGTACCATGCTATTCATACAGTAATTTATATGCTCATTGGCTCCACTTATGCAATTATTTTGTCCTGATTTGTGCTTTTTTGTTTGTTTCAGTTTGCTGATTCATGATATTGCATATCTACACCTGCATGATTTGTAATTACTCTGAAATTAACAAAACATGGAACGTCGCAAGTGTGTGAACGGTGCTGACAGTTTTTGCTACATATGTGGTGCCTTCACTCCTGGTAGCCTCAAGAAACCAATCACAAAAGCTGTTCGACTGAACTACAAAAGTTACTTCAAATGTCATTTGGGTGACCAAGACAAGAAATGGGCACCTCATGTAGCCTGTAAGTCTTGTGTTAACCACCTGAGCGAGTGGATGTGTGGTAAACGAAGTTCAGGAATGCCGTTTGCTGTACCAATGATATGGCGTGAACCTAAAGACCACAGTAGTGACTGCTACTTCTGTCTCACAAATATTAAGGGAATAAAAATCAAGACACGAGGCAAGGTACAGTACCCCAATATTGCTTCTGCAATCCGACCAGTACCGCACAGTGCTGAACTTCCAGTCCCAAATCCACCGACTGAACAAGAATTGAGTGATTCCGATTCTACCTCTATCTCAATGGAAAACGACTACCAGGATGACTCTGAAAATACCAGGCCTAAACTATTTACTCAAGAAGCGCTTCATGATCTCATCAGGGACCTAAACTTGTCAAAAGAAAAGGCTGAAGTTTTGGGATCCAGACTAAAGCAGCGTAACCTGCTAGAAGATGGAGTGCATATCACTACAGCGCGTTACCGACATAGACAGCTGTCTGCATTTTTCAAGATGGCAAACAACCTTTGTTATTGCGAGGACGCAGTATCTCTCATGCAACAACTCTGCAAGTCTGAAACATACAAGACAGAGGATTGGAGGCTGTTTATAGACTCAGGAAAAGACTCTCTGAAAGCTGTTCTTTTACACAATGGCAATCGGCTTCCATCTGTCCCAATAGCACACGCAACAAAAATGACTGAGAGCTATGAAACAATGAAAATTCTGTTGGCCGCTATAGAGTATGAGAAACACCAGTGGAAGATATGTGGCGATCTCAAAGTCATCAGTTTACTACTGGGCCTTCAGAGTGGCTACACAAAGCACATGTGCTTTTTGTGCTTGTGGAACAGCAGAGCTGATGCAGAGCACTATGTGAGAAAGGATTGGCCGACAAGACCAAGAGATGCGCCTGGAAGGTTTAACTGTGCTCACAATCCGCTTGTAGATCCAGAAAAGATATTTTTGCCTCCACTGCATCTAAAGCTCGGTTTGGCTAAAAATTTCATCAAAGCTATGGATCAATTCGGTGCTGGGACTCTATACTTATCTCAGAAACTAGGTGGTGTGGTTTCCGAAGCCAAGTTGAAAGCAGGTGTCTTGAATGGACCACAAATTCGTATACTAGTTAATGATAGCGAATTCACCAAAACATTGAACCCACTGGAGAAAAAAGCATGGGAATCATTTGTCAATGTGTCAAAGAATTTTCTTGGAAACTATCGTGCTGACAACTACAAAGAAATCGTAACAACCATGCTTCAGAATTATCATGCATTGGGAGCAAGGACGTCCTTGAAATTGCATTTTTTCCACTCTCATATTGAATTTTTCCCAGGTAGCCTTGGAGACGTTAGTGATGAACACGGCGAAAGATTTCATCAAGATATCGCCATAATGGAGAGCAGATATCAGGGACAATTCAGTCCTAACATGATGGGCGACTATTGCTGGACACTGCAACGAGAAGAGAGCAAGCTGTACAAGAGAAAGAGTAAAGTTCAGAAGCACTTTTAGAACTTCATATTTTGTCATTATAAAGGATTTGAACTTATGTTTTTTGGTACAATTTTTTATGAGCTTATCTGTGATAGGTTTAAAATTGTATCTTGCATGACGCGATAATGTTACTATATTTACTATTTTTTTTATTCTTTAAGAAAGTAGGTCTGATGGTAGAATGAAACATCCAATTAATATTCATTAATATGAAATTAGTCATGAAACCACAGTCACATGAGATAATCTCATCTTTTGCACGACACGTGATGAAATATTAAATATTTGTACCTATTGATTTTTTTATAAAACCTGGTCTGATAGAAAACAAATATCAGATTCGAATTCAGCAATATGAAATTAGTTGTGTGAGCATGATCTCATATGTGAACCATTTTGGCTGTTGACCAGTGTTCTCGTTGATAATGTAAGTGGTCATATCTCCAAAATTATCCTTCTCTCACTTACCATTCCCGTTATGAATTTTTGTGACATAACGTGACAATTTGTCACTCAAACACCTCATGCCATTTTACGACACTTTATACTACAAATACTTAATGACACTTAAAACTCCTCATGCCACAAACACTTCATATAACTTATAACACTTCATAATACAAATAGCCTACAACACTTATAAGCACTTTGCGTTACTTACAAACACGTTGTGATACATGTGATCACAGTACTTATGAAAATTTTACGGGACGTAAAAACACTTTTTGAACTTAAAAATACTTAAAAACCCTTATAACTACTTTATGACACGTATAAACACTTGGTGTTTACTACACTGACGAAACTACCAATACTTTGCTGGCCTCCTCAATTTCAGTCTCTTCACCAGCTATTTGTTTGTCTATCAACATTCATGTATTTCCTTGCCGGCACTAAGGCAGAGACAACACTTCCTTTATCTTGTCTTGTTAGAGGCCTCTGTTGACATTCTCATAAATATGAAACCGCGAAACGAGACAAATTCAAGACTTGAACGAGCAGGCTCAAACCTCGTCCCAGTGCTATAACGGTCTGAGTTTGGTCGTGTTTTACTCATTCGTTTCTCCACACATGTAGCTTTAGAGATCTTTGTCTTTATCTGTTCTAATCATAAAGCATAAAGTATAAAGTAACAAATTGCAAAAGATTATATGCTCGTTTTTTGGATGATTGAGTCTGATGTATCGAAAAAAGATCAAAACTGTTCCTGAACCCTCGAAGCTAAGACATTCGCTCTCCACTCGTCTTGGAGTCTGGTGGACATTGTTGGCAAGGTTTGACTTTTTTTTCCTAGGATAGCTGTAGGGGTGAGAGATCTAAACTTTATTATTTCTCCCATGTAGGTATGAGTGTTCAATCAAGTGTTTAGTTTGTGTGAGTTGTGTATATATTTAGATTATTCTGATGTGCCGTGTGTATTTTTTTACACTCGTCATAAATTATAAATACATAATGTAACACCTGTATGTTGTGTAATCAAAATACCCATAAGGTACATTTTTTATATTTACATAGTATGGTGCAGCAGCTAGTTTTTCATTTCCAACGGATTCGCTCAGATTGCACGATTCTAGTTCCTGTCACGGTGACGGGCGCTGGACTGAGTCACTGATCTCTCATATTCGGTACACATCCTTGTGCCATCGCTTTACAAGTGGTGATCAGACCTAAAGTTTTCAGTCTGGCTCAAGATATCATTATAAAAATATGTCAGTGTACTGTGAGTGGATTGTTTGTGTATGTTTTACTTGTGATTGCATAGGCATTTTGTGTATGTTTACATGTGTATGGACTTTATGCATGTTTACATGCAGTATGTATGGACTTCATGCCTGTTTGTGTGTTTGCTATTCCTATTGTTGTCTCATTTTTGTTTTTTATCATTAAAATTTTTAGTCTTTATCATTCGTCTGTTTCTGTCTGACACTGTCTTTTAAAGAACTAGTCAACATTTAGAGAGAGAGAGAGAGAGAGAGAGAGAGAGAGAGAGAGAAATTATTATTTTTTGGTTTTTTTAAACCAAGAGATTCATCTGTTTCTGTCTGTTTGCATTGTGTTTTTTTTATATTTCCTTAGATTTGTGATAGCTGCCAGTGTTGCTAAGAAGCGGAAGTACAATGATGAATACATTAACTACGGATTTACGTCAATCCTCGCTGATGGCATCGAGAAACTTCAGTGTGTGTTGTGTTTCAAAGTACTGGGAACGATTCCATGAGGACTAGTAAGCTGAAGCATCATCTGACGTCAATCCACCCCAGTATGCGGAAAGAGGGGGTTGTCTTCAAGCGCCATGAATGGAGTTTGGTTGGACAAAACAAAGACTGGATGATAGTGGTGCTTTCCAACAATAGAAATTAAGTGTAGTTGAGGCATCATATAAGGTTTCCATTGAAATAGCAAAGAAGAAGAAGGCCCACGCGATTGGTGAAAATTTGATTAAGCAGTGTGCTTTAAAAATGGTCAAACGGGTTCTTGGAGAGGCAAGTGAAGTAAGATTAAGCAGATTTCCTTGTCAGCCGACACGGTGAAACGGAGAATTAGTGAAATGTCAGCTGGTAAGGGAACAAATGATACAGGAGATTAAATCGTCTCCAAATGGTATGTTTGCAATACAGTTGGATGAGTCAACGGATGTGAGTTCTTCTGCACAGCTACGGTAGGTATGTATTCTTGCATGACATCAAGGATGAATATCTGTTCTGTACACATCTTGAAACTACCACAACAGCTTTCGATGTGATGGAAAAGTTGATTTCTTTCTTCACAGCTAACGGGATCATCTGGGAAAATTGTTGTGGAGTTTGTACTGATGGGGCTCCGGCGATGCTGGGATCGACATCGGGGTTACAGAAGCACGTCAAGGAAATAGCTCCGAATGCCAAAGGAGTTCATTTTATGGTCCATCGTTTTGCATTGGCGTCGAAAACCCTCCCTGATGCCCTGTGCAAGATCCTGGAGGCAGTGGTAAAATGCGTCAACTTTGTGAAAGCAGGAGATTTGAACTTTCGCCTTTTCCAGAACCTCTGTAGATGCATGGATTCAGAGTATGAAACCCTCTTCTTTTATTCCAAAGTCCGATGACTTTCCACGGGTAATGTTGTGAATCGAGTGCTCGAACTTCGGGGAGAACTTAAGTTGTTCCAGGAAATGAAAGGGAAGGATGATCTACTAAGTCACTTCAACGAGGTGTTGTGGGACCCACGTCTTGCGTACCTGGCACACATATTTGAGCAGCTAAACTGGCTGAATCTCAAGCTACAAGGCAAGGAAAGAAATGCGTTTCACCACACGGATTGTATTTGTGCATTTCTTGACAAACTCCAGAACTGGCAAAGGAAAGTCAGTACAGGAAATGTTGCCATGTTTGAGAATCTCTCAACTGTTCTTGACGATATTGAAGAGGATCGTCTACTTGACCCATCACTCAAAAATGAAATAATTCAGCACTTGAAATCCTTGGAAAGTGAGCTCAAAAGGTACTTCCCAGAATTCGAGGAGGAGGAAGGGAAATTGGTGAGGAATCCTTTCTCTAGCACTCTTGATATTGCTGCCATTTCCGACGATGTTCGGGACGAATTTCTTGATCTCAGGAACGATTCTGCTGCCAGAGACCTCTGTGAAGAAAAATCTCTGACGGTATTCTGGTGCTCAATGTACGAGTCATATCCAAAAGTTAGTGAGATCGCACTTCGAGTCCTCTTGTCATTTTCTACTACTTATTTATGTGAATCTGGTTTCTCCAACCTTCTTCAAATAAAGAATAAAAGCTGAAACCGGTTACATGTGGACCCAGACATGAGATGTGCTTTATCAGTGACTCAACCTCGAATCAGTCGACTGACTGAAAGGAAACAATGTCATCCATCCTATTGAACTGTAACAAATTATGCATTCTGTTTGATTATTGTAAACATTAAAATAAAGGAAGAGTACCAAAACAGTTTATTTTCATCATTATTTGTGAGGGGCTTGGGAGAGAACTGAAGGGGGAGCCACGAGGATGTTGAGAGTGTCTCATGGAGGAACGGAGTGAAAAAGTTTGAGAAACACTGGGCCCCTTCAGCTCATGTGAAACAAATTTCAGCATAAATATTAACGAAATTGCGTTTTTCGAACTTTAAATTCGTCATTACTGTTGTATCTTGGTCCTGCTCATATCACGTCCACTAAACAAACATATTTGGTCGTGTACGAAACTAGGTTTTACAATTCAGTTTTTGCGCGTCTATCACAGATTTACGGTCACATTTCTCTACATTCGCTGTTATTATATTGTTATGCCGAAGCATAATTCGGTATAATATTGTTTGTAAACTAGGCGTTTTGATTGTTTTCTGTCCCATGCATTAGGTATTTCGGCAAGTTTAGGGAGATTTTATTGTATATATTGATGTATTACTTATGTATGAATATTCTAGAAAGTATTTCATCATGTTTGTAAGCCTCGACCAGAGTAGAAGATTCTAGAACCACCCAGGACTCTTTGGGTGTTGCTAGGTTGTTCGAGAGGCGTCTGATGAAGTATATAAGTAGCACTGGGCTGCCTAGTGAAGTTAGTCAACGGTGTCTTCTCAGAGTACCAGCCTAGTACAAGCCTAGTAGAACAACTGAAGATAGTTGTCGTGCAAGTATTGTGAAATTGTTGTGATCAATATAAAAGTGAAATGACTAAGGAATTGTACACTGGTAGTGTGCCGACTACAGTGTATATTCGAAGTGAGAAGTCCAGCTGTGAAGCCATTATGCTGTTAACAATGTTGTGAAAAATTAGTGCTTATTAAAGAAGACTACAGTACACAAGTGTGTTTCTGTGACCTGGTGGAAATCAACCAGTCTGTTGTTTGTCTGAATACTGTCGCGATCCCACTACCCTTTATACCTGGGGAGTGAAACCTACCCCAAGTTATTAACAAATAAAGGAACAAATAGGGAACACGGCAATAATTATCCCCACAAAAACCTACTCAACTAAATGTACTTGAATAAGTATGAACAAGTTGAAATAAGTAAGTCACAAAAGGGAAGATAATTAATTAATTCAATTTATGTTCTAAAGGGAGTAATGACTAGCAAACATGAATTTAAGGGTATAAGTAATTGTATATTAAAATAAGAGTGATGCCGGAAGGGTGAAAATATACCGTAAGGAGTTAGACCAAACGAATATTACTTAACATAACTATATTACACAGACATACAAAATATATACATACAACAATCCCTACAAAATAGTTATTTCCTACCAAACAGGAGATTCCTTACCACCAGGACCCCTTCCTAGGCCTAACTAAACGTGTCACTAATACCTGATACCCCTAGGGCATTGCAGAAGACTGGACAAGGCACTAGACAAGGGTCAAGGCTAGAGAACGAATGGACACGTCTACCATATGCCACGGTTTTTCGCTACTGGGGAAGCGTGGAGCATGCAGTGGAGGAGAGCGTCTCATATCACGTGATCCAGGACATTTGCTGGATAGTTTATATAATTAATTAATACTACTCTTGATTTGACTTAACAGAGTAAGACAATGATGCATATTAATAACATACATAAATATACAATTAACCTAAGTAACTAAGAACAATAATAATATAATAAGTACAATTAACAAGTTAATAGCTTGTGTGAAATGTAGGCGTGAACATATGCCTCACGCTATGCGAGTTCCCGAGCGCTCAGGCACGTGATAATACTGATACAGAACGTCAGAAAATTACCGGAGATTGGCGGAACAGCCAATGGTAATTAGACAACACTTGTGAAATATAAACTGCTTCTCTATATACGACCCTGGCCGGTGGTAACCAGTGGTGGAAGCTGGGTAAGCGGTAGAGGAGGGTCATAACAGTATGTTAGGAAAGTTAGGTGGGATTTTCAAAGGTGAAATGTTGCTTTATCATTGTCATTGTTACTGTTATTGTTGTCATAATAAGTTATTACAGAATTGCTTAGGAAAGTTAGGTAATTGTATAATTGATGGACGAGCAAAAAGGGATTCGGTGAACCAGGTTTCGTACACAATCAAACGTGTTTACGTTTGGTGGACCTGATACAACTATATTGGCGGATTTTAAATTAGCTGAAAACACTTTTTCGCGAGTTTTTATATTCGGTCTCTGTGTTATCACAATCACGTGATCTACTTGACCAATCTGAGCAACACTCCAGTATCTAGGGAGATTTACATACGCAAAAATTTGGTCTTTATCAATATTCCTTCGAGTTTATGCACCCCCCCCCCGACTGAACTCCGAAAACAAGAACACCATCATTGCGAAACACAGAAAATATTTTCTCCTCTGCCATTTTAAACCTTGCCCACTTAAGGGTCCCCAATGAAGTTGATAGCGAAAGTGGACATATCGCCATAAATATCCATCGCCTCCGGAAATAAAGGCCATATTCGTTTATAACATTAAAAAAAACTACACATGAAAACCTATTTCAGTTACCAATTTCCCGTTGTAGCATGAAGTGTTAGAGGCGTGTCATGAAGTGTGTTATGGTGGCAAAGTGTCCCAAAGTATCATGAAGGGTCCTAAAGTTTCAAAGTTCCTTTAAGTGTCAGTGCCTAAAGTGTCCTAAAGTGTCAGTGTTCTCAAGCGCCGTAAAATCATAGTTTCATAGTGCCATAAAGTCTCAAATAGTTATAAAATGTCCAAGCAACATACAATATTGCGAAACTGTGTCGAAAAGTATCGTAAGGTGCTGTGAAGTCTCTCAGTGCCGTAATGTGCCATTGATATTGTAAAGTGTCAATAAAGTGCCATTAATGCTGCAAAGTGTCGTAAATTGTCAGTAATCTTATCAAATGTTGCAAAGTGTCTTGAACTATAGCAAGGTGTAAAGTGTGTCATGGAGTACAGTAATGTTCCATGAAGTGTCATGAGCTGTCATAAAAGTGTCAAGACGGTGCCCGGAGGTGACCCTGAATAGCGCCAGGGATACTGCTTCCACTAACACGAGGTAACTACTAATAATACTACTGTTGCGTTCTTGACATATTGAACAAGTTCACTTAGTCGACCATTTGGCATAAGCTAATGCTTAAGATTATTGGTTGTTTCTGTAAGTTAAGTGTAAATAATTATATAAAGTATGTGTCTGTGTGTGTGAGATAGACAGCAGGTACTTTCAATTGTTTTTTTTTACTTTTCTTTTTCCAGGTATGTGTGAATTAAAGCAGCTCTTCGAGGTCAATTAACACACCATATCTAAGGTACATCTAAGTTATCATATTCATTAATTAATTTTTGTTTTATCCATCAGCTAAGTTTGGAATCCTTCGTATTTCAATATAGTTTTAAAGGAACGTTAGGCTTTCCCCCTCCCTCTTTGAGGACGGCGGTGTCCCTCCCTTATCAGTGAGTAAACATGATGCCCACACTCATTCACACAGACGTCAGACATACTCCTTATCCTTACACCGTATTTGTGGTTGCCTGTGGTCCCATCTAATATACTATAGGACTCGGCGTCTGTCTGTCTGTGTGTCTGTTCTGGGCAGCTGAAACTGCACAATCGTTTTTCATCAAACTTGGTGGGAAAATCGCAAAAATTTCATAAAGTGGAACAAACCTGGTCCCATGTCGATGGTTTCTTTAGGAAGGCATTAGTAAAGGAAGGAAGATGAGTAAATAGGAGAATAAAGAAGGGGAAACAGAAAATAGTTAGAGATAACAGGTGAGGGGGAGCTGAGTTTCATCATGCGTCCGGATGCTCAGTTTCAACGTTACCAGAGCATTTTCGGACCTTACGAGGCTACAGTGTATACTTATTCCTGTGGCTGATTGTACATAGAAAAGGAGAAGAGATAAAAAGATAATAACAGGAATGCATGGAGAAGATAGAAAGGGAGAAGAGAAGGAGAAGAAACATTATTATCCTTAAGAGGCGAGCGAGGAAAGGAGATGGGAGAGAGGGATAGTGAGAGGTGGAGGTATGAATGGAGGGATGTGTTTTTTAAAGTTCCCAGAATACCATATTAAGATCACCTGTTTAATAAGGAAGAAAAAGTGCTAAATATGATGAGTAGTGTACGGATAAAAATGGAGAGAGAGAGAAGCGGACAAACAAAAGACATAATACAGACATATTCAAGGACACACAGAAAGACAAGACTGATAGACAGACTTATGAAAGACAAAGACAATAGACACATACATACAGACAGACAGACATGACTACGCAGGGTGAATATAGACAGTGAAACAGACAGGAGGTTTACAAAAATAGACAGATTTATACATGCACAATTAGACAATATGGCAACTAACATGACAGACAGACAGACAGACAGACAGATGACTGACTGGTTTACATTCGACAAACAGGCAGACACACGCCAACAACGGATAAGACTGACAGATTTGACTACACAAAGAGTACAGAAGGGCTTACAGTCAGACACCACGCAGGTGAACAGACAGTTGGGATGGCAATAGACAGGACGGATAGACTTGAGACAGATTAGAACGCATTTATAAACAAGAATAACACCAAATTGACCATAGCTGCGTCAGTGAGGGTAGGAGGTCTTACATCCACCAGCGTAAATAATAAGACGCATTGAAAACTAACACCCTTGCGCGGAAAGAGCATCCATGGTCGGTCAGTCATGTGAGATGGGCCTAAAACTGACTAACGTAGATGATGACTATGATTACTTAACACAGATGATGACTAATCTAACCAGAATCAAGGTCACTTCTCTTCATAATACAATTTATCTCGGAATAATCATCGGTGATTCATAATAGTTTTTTTTATGATTTTAACCTCTCCTTATGGCGAATATTTCTTTAACTAATGATTCTAACCTTTATTCTATTCCTTCCTAAAGTATACAAGATACTTAAAGTAACTAATAACCACGACCATGATTATAACAACCACGACCATGATTATAACAACCATGACCATGATTATAACACCTACGACTGTAAAGGGCCTGGGACTTAGGGATATAAATCCCTTACCAGACTAATCAGGATCTTAATAAAGGAATGTCAAGGACCATGGTTTTCTGAGGAATAACAAACAACCGTTTGAGATTGATATCTCTTTATTATAAAAAATATAACGCAAAACTCTGACACCACTCAACGAACATCAAGTAACAATTACGGGAGTCAAACAATTAATGCAGTAAACAGTGAATGGAGTCAAATAATTAAGGAAAGCAAACAATTAAAGGAAGCAAACAATTAAAGGGAAGCAAACAATTAATGGGAGTCAGCAATTAAGGGAATCAAACAATATAATCAAACAATGAACAGATGAACAGTGGCCCTGGGGAACGTCCCAGAACACGGATGGCTGGCGCCGCCCAACTGGCGTGGAACCCCGACTGGGCGGACTGGGACTGCAACGCTTGCGCTCAGGAGGTTGGTTGGTTGGTTGGTTGTTGTTTTTTTGTGTTTGGGCGAGTCGGCGTTGGGGATCGGCGTTGTCCTACCCAGAACACAGTGATCCACTCTCAGGGGGAAGCGTCCGTTCACCCTCACTCGAAAGACAGCGGCCGATGTCTTGATACGGCAGACGAAACACCGGGTGCACCAACGGTGGAGGGGAGCAGCGGTAGTGGTTGATGTCCAGAGAATTGACAGGTCTGGGAAAACAGCCCACGAGTCCAGGACCTATGATGAGATCACAGCCAGAATTTGGCGAACAGCGGAGTAGCTAGATAGTGACTGTATGACGGCTGAGGTGAATCCGCTAGGTGAACAAGTAGTCGCTGCCGTTCTCACCTCTGTCCAACCCCACCAAGTGTTGGTCGCACCAGCAAACGAGAGAGTTAGCAGTGGTAACGAGCAGGAAGATCGTTTCCGCCCTTACCACGACTATGATCATAACAACCACGACTATGATTATAACAACCACGACCATGATTATAACAAGCGCGACCATGATTATAACAAGCACGACTATGATTATAACAACCACGACCATGATTATAACAAGCGCGACCATGATTATAACAAGCACGACTATGATTATAACAACCACGACTATAATTATAACAACCACGACCATGATTATAACAACCACGACCATGATTATAACAACTACGAACATGATTATAACAACCACGACTATGATAATAACAAGCACGACTATGACTATAACAACCACGACCATGATTATAACAACCGAGACCATGATTATAACAACCACGAATATGATTATAACAACAACACACCATTATAACAACCACGACCATGATATACACAACCACGCGATTATAACAACAGACCATGATTATAACAACCACGAATATGATTATAACAACCACCATGATTATAACCCACGACATGATTATAACAACCATGACCATGATTATAACAAACACGACCATGAATATAACCTCCACGACCATGATTATAACAACCACGACTATGATTATAACAACCACGACTATGATTATAACAACCACGACCATGATTATAATAACAACAACGACTATGATTATAACAACCACGGCCATGATTATAACAACCACGACTATGATTATAACGACCACCACCATGAATATAACAACCACGACCATGATTATATGATTATAACAACCACAACCACGACCATGATTATAACAACCACCACCATGATTATAACAACCACGACCATGATTATAACAACCACGACCATGATTATACCAACCAACAATGATTATAACACCATGATAACAACCACGACTATGATTATAACAACCACGACCATGATTATAACAACCACGACCATGATTATAACAACCACGATTATAACAACCACGACCATGATTATAACAACCACGACCATGATTATAACAACCCCGACCATGATTATTACACTCACGACCATGATTATAACAACCACAACCATGATTATAACAACCACGACCATGATTATAACAACCACAAGCATCTGGAAAACGATGTCACTGTACTCTGTCAGCCGTACAGCAGTTCTGCGCTAGGGAAGCACTAGCGTTCGAACTGTACCACCTGACTCGCCACCGGGCACGAAAGGCCCACGATCACTTGTTACTGTCTTTATGAAATTCTCACCCTCCCCATCCTTCACGCCTTCTGTGAGGGTACCGGATTCCTTAAACCCCCCCCCCCCTCCTCACTGTCACTGTAGCATACTTCTTATTCATATATTTATATTTATATATTTCAATTTTCAATTGGCAGGGCTTCCTTACTGTTCAGACCATGTCGGTTTTGCTATGTTCTTATGCCATACAGCATGACGCTCTGTGCTTGTCCTTAAGTTGTGGGAGTTTCCAGGTAGCCATTTCGTGTTATGCCCATTTGTTGTTGATTGTGTACTCATTGTTATACCATATATTTTAGCTCCTTTTAATTACTTATTGCACTCCCGTATATACTCCTACCTTCTTCCTTTAAAACTTTGCCTTATAGTATATGTAAGCTAGGTAAATTAAATAACTTTCACCTGACATGCACTCTTGGGCAGAGCTTACTGAGCAGTCTGGGTCAAGGCCCAGGAGCTTGCTTCACCGAAACTTTATCAAGTGTCAGACTCCTGAGGTCTATGAAACACTTATTACTGTTGGG